AGAGAGAGAGAGAGAGAGAGAGAGAGAGAGAGAGAGAGAGAGAGAGAGAGAGAGAGAGTAATTGAATAASAWATCATTGAAATAATARTAAAGTCCAGAAAACATTAACTGGTTTATGAACTMTAYATTTACTGTCTATTATTGAAGACCACTATTAATAATAATAATAATAATAATACGGAATATTACAGTAAATTCGTGGTATTTCACAGAATATTCTGTTTATTGCAAAATAATATTAATATCAATAGAAATGTTTTTTTTTTGTTTTAAAAAAATAGTTTTTTTTCTTTCATTTTCCATTGAAATTTTCCACCAAAAAAATAAAATATTTAAACAAACAACTAAAAACAATTGAAATTTTATTGTTTCAAATTATTTGATGTGTTTTTTTTAATTATACAGTATGTCTGTAAAGATAATCTATTGTTATATTTATAAAATTTATTTTGTTTGAAAATAAAATTTCAAGATTTAGATAAAAGTGTTTATATATATATAAAAATATTTTTTTTCGTGAAAATTACAAATAAGTAATAATAATATTAKTATTAATATTAAGGTAAAAATATTTTGTAATTTGAGATAATTTTTTGTTGAATTATTTATTTTTTTTCAAATATATATATATATATATATATATAATGTTAACAACAAAATAATTGAATTTTTTTTGAAAAAAAAACTAAATCATCACAAATATAGACATAAATATATAATAAATACAATACATATTCAGTATAGGAGACAATTTATTTTTAAAAAAAAAATTATTTTTAGAAATTTAAAATTATAAATTTATAGACAGTATTTCTATAGATTAAAAAACTTTTAGTTTTTTACAGTTGTTTACAGTAAATTGATTTTTCACAAAAAAAATGTTTAATTTTTTTTTAAAAATCTAGCAATATTTACGTGATTTGTTATAATAATAATAATTATTATTATTATTATTTTTATGACAAAAAAATAATACTTTTTCTAATATATTAAAAGTTATGTGATATATGTACTCATAAATAGTAATTTTATATAATTAAATATTTAAATATAACATATATATATATATATATATATATATATATATATATATAAAATAAATTTAGTAGACAATAATTGTTTATTTTATTTTCATAATATATATATATATATATATATATAGATGTTTACTGTTTACACAAATATGATTACAATTTGGGAAAATAAGTTGACATTTAATATAAAATTATAATATATTCAATAGAAAATAATTTATAAAATTAAGTGACTTTTAAAATTAATTAGCATATACTGTTAATAAATACCTTTATATATAAATAAATGCTAATTATATGTATATATATATATATCTGTATATATTTAAATTATTAATTTCAAAAAATATATAAAATTTAATTTGTTATTTAAAAATTTTTCATAATTTATCATACTTTTAAACATGGTATGTAATAGCAATAGACAATTTAATAATACTTGAATTATTTATTTAAATATTTGGTGCTATTTAATGAATAATTTACATATATTGTTATATATTTATTAATATATATATATATATATATATATATATATATATATATTGTAACTAATATTATGATCATTAGCAATTACAGTATACATTATATATATATATATATATATAAAATCTTTATTATAAATTATAAACCATTAATATAATTCATTATATTTACTSTATATATATATATATATATATATATATATATATATATATATATATATATAATTTGATGATTTGACTCTCTAGTGTATAAACTCTATAKTGAATCAATAGGGGTCTAAATTTTTTATTTTCATTTATAATAATTTATTTATAAAATAATCTATATATGATTAAATATTTTCTAAARTTATGTAATATATATATTAATATAAATYWAATTAAATATATATATATATTAATTATAAATTTATAGATATATTATCCTAATTAACATTTTATGATATTTTTAATGTGTAAGTGTTGTTTGAATTATAWATAATATATAAATATTATATATATAGACATTACTGYATAAAMAGTATATAATAATTACTTTAATGTATTTTTAAAATCATAATATCATATTTGCTAATTTCAAGWTAAWATTATTAAATATTATTATAATATTGTATAATTTAAAATAAATTTTTACTAATTTATAGTACAGTAAATATATATATATATATATATTTATATAGAATTTATAATTTTCTATAATTACATAATTATCTAAATTTAATTATTTTAGATTTTATTATATATAGTAATAGTACTCAAAGAAAAAATATTAATAAAAAAATGTTTTATACAATTTTATACAATGTTTAAGTAATATAATTTGAAAATTAAAACATATTAATAGCAATGAATAGCCAACTATTAACAAAAATATAATTAATTTTAGATGTTATGTATAAATAWATAATTTTTTACAACTATTAACACTTAGTTAACATATATATATATATATCGCTTATAAACATATTTTTATTTTATGAGATTTTAATCGAGTAATATAATTAAAAATAAATAAGTTATARTAAATTTTATAAATTATTAAAATTACAAAAATATTATTATATTGATATTATAGTTATCATACATACTATAATTGTAAATTTATTTATTTTTAGATTWAAAAAAWTAATCTAATTWAAARAAAGTATGTATTCAATATTGATATGTTAATTATAAACATAAAATTATTTTTTAGTTTTATATAATATGCAATAATAATATTAATTARAGTTAATTATAATTGAAAAAGTAATCAAAAAATTATTAATTTKCGGAAAATTATTTTTYCCAATTATATATTATTTTATCCAAAAWTATAAATATATAGACTTTAATTRTAAAAACTTTATGATTAATTTTTGTGTGGATATTATAATATATATAAAATAGTATTACTATTAATTAATATAATATATATTATTATTTTTTAGTTATATATATCAATATATTAATATATAATTAAAATGCTAGACACACACAACACACAAAAATTATTTTAATATATTTATAATTAATTTTTTCTTTCCATAACTATATCCAATGCAATTAATTATATTATTTTTTAATAATAWTAATAATAWTATTATATGYATTTTATTTTTAATTTTATTTAATATATATAGTTATAATAAATATATTATTAATTATCGTTAATTTAWTGAGTATATACTTATATATWTAAAAAATTAATTATTTTTTTTCTAATTATATAAATATATTTTTTTTTGTATTTAAATTACCAGATATTTTGCTATTGTWTTCCCATTGAGATCTCGCTATTGGTTTGAATCGCAAACCAATTTCATGATTGCAATCATTTGGATGGTAAGCCTGGCCATCGGCTCACCCCTACTGCTGGTATGCCGTGCCGTACACTTTCGCTACAATGGACAGGAATATCATGACTGTCGGGAGAGCTGGGAGGGCGAAACAACCGGCAAAATATATACCGSKRTTATATTTGTGTCGACATTTCTGGTACCGTTCCTCGCCCTGAGCTTTCTCTATACGTCGATTGGYGTGAAAACATTCAAACATATAATACCCGGTAATGCAAATATGGCCAGAGATGAGGCACAGCTTAGGACTAAAATTAAGGTATGATTTGTTTKKTTTTKKTTTTTTTTGAACTAATGTTTTTTTAACTAATAATAATATAATTTAATAGTAAAAATAAATAATTATAATACTAATAATTAATTAATAAATATAATAATAATAATAATAATAATAATTATAATATATTATAATAACATACTGTTATATAATTATAATTAAATAATAATAATAATAATAATAATATTTATAGATATATTAATAGTTATTTTTACCAATTTTGAATAATATTTTAATTTTGAATTACTATGAATAATAATAATAATAATAATAATTTTTGTTGTTGTTGTTGTTGTATATTTATATATAAATTKTATATATAAATCATAAATCTATAACTAAAAAATAATTAATAATATGTYAAWTAATAACATACTGTTATAATGATTAAWAAAAATWATAATTAAATTTTAAACAATAATTATCTATACTATAAATTCTATAGTATTTATAGATATATTAATAGTTATTTTTTTTATTAATAATAATTATAATAAATATTAATATGTATTCAATATTGGTATGTTAATCATAAACATAAAATTATTTTTTTATGTTTAATATAATATGCTATAATAATATTAATGAGTTAATTATAATTGAAAAATTTTAAGAAAATAAAAATAATTAATTTGCGGAAAATTAGTTTTACCAATTATATTATTATTATTTTGAATAATATTTGAATTTTGAATTACTATTAATAATAATAATAATAATAAACAAAAAAAAAAACAAATATATAATATATGATTCATGAAATGTTAGAAAATTAAATATTAAACAATATTTTTTTATTGATTGAATTTTTTTAAATAGATATTATTTAATAACTTTTTATTTCATAATATATTTATTATGTTTTGACATGTATTTTACATTTAMAATATTTAAGTAAAATCATATTTGCTGTATATGTAAATATGATTATCATAAATAAGTAATCATAATAATAATAATAATAAATTTTATTTTGTTTAGTGAGTGAGTGAGTGAGTGATTTAATCATTGAAATTTTTTTTATACAAGTTATTTACTTTATAAATATATGTCATATTTGAGATGATTTTATTTATTTTTTAAAARRCATTTTGATTTTGAAAATATGTTATATAATGTTTGATGAATAGATAGATAGATAATGAAAGAGAGAGAGAGAGAGAGAGAGAGAGAGAGAGAGAGAAAAAAATTGTTTGTATTTATTGTCAGAATATTCTGTATACTGTTATTCGTAAATATATTTTTTTATTTTTATTATTAAGTTGTTATGTATGACACAAACACATCACACAAATGTTTGATTGATATCTATTGATTAAATTATTTTTATTATACTTAATATACGCTAAATTGTTTGTCAATGTATTTGCAAATATGAATTGAATATATATTTTATTTAGACTATATTTTTTTACATCCTTTATAACATTTTAATGCACTTTATTATTAATATTATTATTGAGAATCACTACAAAAATTATTATATATTTACTAAATATTTAATATATAAAACAAATTTAATAACATTTAAACAGTCAATACATTTAAATAAAATCAATATTTATTTTTTAAAAGTTCATTTGATTTACACTAAATAAACATCAGTTTCAGTCAATTATATCTATATATATATATATATATATATATATTAGTAACTAAATAAATATTATTCATATATATATATATTATATATATAATATTTATTTAGTTAACTAATATGAAAATTTAAATATTTATTTAATTAACTTAATTAAGTTAAAACAATTAAGCGATATATACCCTCTCTTTTATAATATTTCCAAGTAATTTCCCAATAGTATTATCAATTTGATTGATTATCTTAAACAAGTTTTTATTTGGTTACTTATTTTTTTATTTTTTTCCAAAAATAAATAAAAGATAAAATAATTTACATTAACTAAATTATATATAAAAAAAATCTTATTAAATGATTGATGTTTTTATACAGAAAAAAATTGAGAAAATAAACGATGCATTACTTCTATATATAGTATATATTATAATAAATAATAATCAAAACAATAGTAAATATTATTATTATTAATAGACTATATATGCTTAAGATTTTATTTACTAACAATGATTGCCATAACTATTGCTTAATAATAATAATAATAATAATGACTATAAAAAAGAGATTTAAATATAATAATAATATTTTTGAATATAAATATCATTATTATTTTTTTGCAAATATATATATATATATACTCTATATATTTAATATATGATATATTTTTTTTAAACAAAAAGTTTGTAACTAAATATATTATTTTTAGATATTTTTTATTGAAGATATGAATGTATATATATATATATAAACATTAAAATAAAATAAAGTACATCATATTAAAAATTTTTATATAAAATCAATATAGATTATTTATTTTTCAAATTTTTTTGGTGTACACAATGTAGTAAACAATATAAAAATATATTTTATATACAGTATATATATATATATATATATATCCAAAGCTATAAATTTAAAAATGAAAATATCATATTTTTACAAAACATTTTATTTAGAAATTATTTTTTTTTTAAGATTAATATAAACATATAAACATAAATTAAAAATAACTTGAATTGCATTATTAGTTTTGTTTTGAATTTTATTACAAATATTAAAATTGTATAAATTGTATTATTTTTTTTAAAAAATTTATATCTTTAATAACAAAACTTTCAAAATTTTTGAATACTATAAAAATTTTTATAAACTTTGAAAACTAATTTCCAAAATAAAAAGTTTCTCTTTTAAAATACATGTTATAAAATATCTATATGTAATACAAATATATATATATATATATATATATATATATATATATATATATATATATATATATAAAATTTATATATATATATATTGTTAAATAATTAATTAATATCAATATTATTAATGTACATAAAAATCATTAAATAATTGATGCTTTTATGTGTTACACTATATAAACCTATTGATCATTAATAATAGTACAATAAATATATTATATTATGATTACATTATTATTATTATTATTATTATTTACTACTTTTTGGGAAAAATCAATTTATAATCAACAATATATATATATATATATACTGTATTTATATATATATATATTTTGATTTATATATATATATACTATAGATATATATAATTTGATTAATTTATTATTTTTTCTTTGTATTTATATATATATGATATCGCAAATAATAATAAAAAAAAAAATTAGAGGAAAAAAAACAATTGACGTCAACAAACATTTTAAGTGATGACTTCCCGGATGCACTGGTAGTTTCAAGTAATATAATATCTATTTAGGGTATTTTGGTCAACAATATCAACAACAACAACAACAACAAAAAACACATTAAATTGTAGTACTAATAGGATTGCCAACTATTTGTTGTTGTTGTTGTTGTTGTTGTTTTTGGTGAACAATTTGGAAATTATTATAATTTTTCTATAAATATTTTTAACATTTTTTTTTAAAAAAAAACTAATATATTTATATATTAAATTAGTTAACTTTTTATTAAAAATTAATTAGTGTTTATATTTAAATTATATTTTATTTTTATTTCCAATATATTTTATCAACAAAAAAAATATTTTATACATTATATACAATATAGTATTATAATAGATATGGGAATCCTATAGTTTAATAGTAATGTAAAATTTTTATAGAAATTTATTCCCAAAGTAATTTACTAGAAATTTTCTCAATAAAATTTATTATAAATATCTATTTATCCATCTCTAATAGTATAACTATATAATCATTTATAAATAACAATATATATATATATATATTAGATAATAATTTTAATAGTTTAATAACACATTTTTAATTAAAAAATAAATGCTATTAAATACTTATTTATTAAACATTGGACAGTCCGGCAAAAAAAATAATCGGACAGTTGTCCGGAAACATAAGTGCTGGAAAAAAGTTTAATCAAATATTTTATCAAACAATTATTATGTATTTATATATATATATAAAATATTTTAATTAAACTATTTTCACTCAACAGTTTAGCATAATTTAGTTTATTATTATAGTTATATTAGCAAAAAAAAATATAATACAGTATATTGTATTGTGCATTATAGATGTTATATTATTTCAAAAAAAATAATTAATATATATATATATGAATTAGTATTATTTTTTATATATATATATATGTATACTATATATATATATATATAATATATAGCCTAAATCCTATAGCATTATATCCCAACTATAATCCCATTGGTTTATATATTGTATTTTGTTAAGCAAAAAAAAGTTGATTATATCTAATTGAATAAAATGGGTTTTATTTAGATTATATAAACTAAAACCTTAATGTAAAATACCGGTATAATACACACACACACATATATATATATATATAATAAATTTATAGTATATATATATATATATAGATATAATATAGTTTTATATGAATATATTACTCTAATATTTTATATATCAATTTTTTTGGATATAATAAATAGTCACAAAAAAAAATTTGGCATAAAATAATATTATGTTAATATTATTTGCTTAAACAGTATAATACTGTACTGTATTTATCCCTATTATGAAAATAATATTTTTCAATAATATCATAATAATAATAATAATAATAATAATACTAAATATAATTAGTATTCGTGTGTATTAAATATTTAGTATTTTTTACACAATATGTATATAAAATTTATTATATCAATTTTTTTATTATTATTAAATATGAAAAAAGATAAAATCTATTTATCTTCAAAAAAATATCATTTTCATATAAATCTAATTTTGCATATAAATTTTAGCCCAATTTAGCATATTTATCAAGCAACAAATTTAAATGCAAATGCAATTTGCTAAAATTATGCATATATATTACTATATATATATATATATATATATTACTTAAATAAAAAAAAAGTTTGAAGCAATTTTATTTGCTTTTTTCTAATAAATTTAAAATTATATATTATTTTATATTATTTATATTTTATATAAATATTATTTTAATTTAAATTTGAAAACATTCATACAAATAATATAACCAACAACAACAACAAAAATAGGATTATAAAGTTTCAACAAATTTTCTATAGTATATAAAACTTTATATAAATTTACATTATTTATATTTATATAATAAACTAATATATTTTTGGATCAATTTCTAAACAAGTAGTTTATAAGTTAAGTTAATTTTAAGTAATAAACTTTATATAAGATTTATATATATATATATATTATGTAGTTTTTCTTATAGCTAACAAAATAATAACATATAATATACAATATATTTTTATTATTATTATCTTAAATAAAATATTAGATTTATTTATTAGTAAGTGTTTGCTATGTTTAATATTTAAAAACAATTTTGTAATAAACTGTAAATAATTTTTATTATTATTACTATTATTATTATAACATATAATAACATAAATATTTTATATATATAATTTGTTATTATGTTTGTTTATCGTATGTATTATAATGTTTTACTATTTATATTTATAAAACAAATATATATATATATATACATTTAATTAACTTGGGAAAAATAAAGTAGCATTTATTTAATTGATATAAATTATTATATAACAATTGTGTGTACATAATATAAAATATATTACAAATATAAACAGTATATAATATATACTATTATACTATTATATATATAATATATACTATATATATAAACTAGAGGTCAACAAAATAATAAAAAAAATTAAAGAATAATATCCATAATTTTTTTCAAATTTTATTGATTTTTTTTTACAATTGGTTATCAAAACTTTGATTAAAATTTCAAACACATATTCACTTGTATTAGTGATTATTTAGTGACATATGTTTTATTTTTGTTATATCAAAAAAAATATATAATATCAAACTTATGTACAATTAGTATATATAGTACAGTAAATAAATTGCATTTTATATTATTATATAGTTTCTAAAACAACAATATAATTATTAATATTATTTATATATATCTATGTGTATTAGTTATTTAGTATTCAAGTATAGGTTTAAATAMTTTACAAATTAATTAATATAAGTTTTTTTTGATAAAAAAAATTATATAATTTAATTTAATTCCTAATTAATTTATTTTAACATGTTTAAAAAAAATTTTAACAATTAAAAAATGTTTGTATTGAAATTGTATTATTTATTACATATATTTTTTAAAAAAACAATAAATATAAAAATACAATTTTTTTTTATAAATATATTAATGTTTAGTCTATAACGGGACAAATATCATCAGCGCTCCTACCGATACCAATCGCACATTACAAAGTCGATTTTATAATGTGCGATATAAAACCACATTTAAATTTATTAATTATATTTTAAATTAACTATATTTGATATTATTTTCTAATTTCGTATTAATTATTTGTTTATTAATATTATGTTTTGTTATTTAAAATGCATTATAATTTATTATTAATATTGTAAATAAGTTTAATTTAATTATTATTATGTTTAATAGCTGTAATAAGCAATACATGTAAATCATTAACTATCTCATTATATTTATCAATAAAATCGAAGCTCAAGCTCAAGGAGAAGCTCAGGCTAGCAATAGCTAGTCTAGGAGGGGCTTCCAGGCTCTCATAATAGTTGTACCATTTATTAAGCTTAAGAGTATTGACAATTGATTCATAAATTCTGATAACTCGGATGTATCTATTTGTCGATCCGATAATAGGCTTCCGATACTAAATACCGATATATAGCGCAGTTACCAGAGCCCCGAATGGGCTATTCAAATATACTGTGACGTAACAGATAACCCATACAAATATACCGTAACGCTTAAATAGTCTTCATATAGCAAGCCAGTAATAAATAACGTCACAGTTCCCTATCAATCATACCCCGCATTGCTTATTGCTTCGTAAAGTCTTACTTTACGGGCATTTGACGGGTAAACACTCATATATGCCCGTCACAAGTCTAAACATTAATAATGTAATTAAAGCTTTTAAACTAAATATAATAAATACCCCTTTTGTTTGTTTGAATGATAAAACAAGTGTATAGTATTTTTATATACAGTATATATATATATATATAAATTTATATACATATATATTATACATGTATGTTAAATGTACTGTACGTCATATTACATGTTATGTAAATAATAGGATAATATATTTTTAGATTTTTATGTCATTAMCATTAAAATTTGTWTTACTATTTAACRTCAACTATCAATTTTTTGTTWAGATTTAGACATTTAAAAACATTATCGTWAAATGTTAACACWGTATTATTGTTTTATTATTATTATTATTATTATTATACTGTATATCACACTTACAGTAAAGTATAATAAGTACAACAACACTATAATAYAATATATAATATTATGAAAATWWAAAAAAMMAATTTTTATACATAGTGTTTGAATCAGATTAAAGTATATATACAGTATATATATACTGTATATAATAATATGATATTTTACCAAAAATTTATAYAAAACAAAAAATTTRCTAAAAATTTTACAATTAAAATATTAGCATATTTTTCTATGAAACAAAAATAACTTTTTGAATATATATTTTCCAAATACATAACAAAATTTTGAGATATTATATAAAAATTTATTTATATATATATCAAAAGTAAAGTAATACAATATTATAGCTGTTTTAATAATATACAGTAGAAAATTTAATTAAATAATAGGAAACATGGATCTATATAATTAAATACTATAGTTTACTGTATATATATATATATATATATATATATGCTATGGTCTATGATATTGTATATACTWGTMATAGTAGTATWACTAGTAGTAATGTAAATGTTATTATTATATTATTTGTTAAATAGTAGGTTAATGGTATATAATTATTCAAAGTGCRTCTAAAACTAAAACACAAAAATAAGATTTAAAAAAACTTATAGTKAWAATCACTTTATATTAATATACTGTATATATTATATAGTATATTATATAGTGTTTTACATTGCATATCATATGTTAYATTTGAATAWTAAAATAAAWATAATATAATTTAATAAATTATTTTTAAACTGGAAATTTAATTCGCTAACTAACTTAAATATTWAKTTTTATTTATTTATTGCAATTTTTWATAAGTAATAATAATAATAATAATTAAATAAAACAACTAATTGTAATCATTATTTAAATGTTAATTTTAAAATAGTATTTATTTTATTATTTAAATAAAAAATTRTTGATTAAATCTAAATAATACAAAATATTTAAAAAAATACCCATAAATATAGTATATATATTATATATAATACATAAATTATATATATTTAAGATATTAATTACATATATTATATATAATACATTTATATATACTATATTTATGGGTATTTTTTATTTTGGCACAGAATATTCTGTAAATTATTTGTATTCAATAGCATTATATTTATATTATTATTATCAATTTGCATTATATATATATGTATATTATAATACTTATAATTTTTTGTGTATATAACTTATAATTTATCCAAAACAAACCACCACATCATACTAACCCCTCCAACCCCACATATCCCGTTCCCCACCGTTCCCTCCCCCATAATAACCATCAATGTATGTATATATATATTAAAATTGTTGATTGAATCCAAATAATATGCATTTTACAGAATATTCTGTGCCTAAATAAAAACAAATAATACCAACAAATATAGTATATATTGCTTATAATAATAATTTTTTTTATTTATCCATAAAAAAACCACTACCACATCATACCAATCCATTCAACTTCCACATATCCCGTTCCTCCCGTCCTCCCCCCCAATCTAAAACCATTGATGTATATATATGGACAGGTAGTGAAAATGTTGTGCACACTGGTCTCATCGTTTGCCATTTGTTGGATGCCATTGCAGATCTTCAATCTGGTCCTATGGCTGTTTGATGACTTACGATTGGGACTGACATCACAGCAATACTACTTTTTTGTCTATTCATACTTTTTATGCCACTTTCTATCGATAATACACTCCTTAATCGATCCACTAATCTATTGTTTTATGAGCAAAAATTTTAAGGTAATGTTTTCCCTTAAATTTTAATAATTATTTTATTTGTTGTTTAATTTTTTTTAAATAATGATTTAATTTATAATATATAAATATATATACTGTATATAATCGATCCACTAATCTATTGTATAATCTATTATATGCTAATAATTATATATATATATTAAATCTTAAAATATACTTATCATTTATATTAATAATTATTTTATTTTATTTTTTTAATAATGATTTAATTTATAATATATCTATATATAATCGATACATTAATCTATTGTATTATTTCTACTTCAATAAAAGTATAATCAAAAAAATACATAKCAAAAAAATTATGAGATATTATATAAAAATTTATTTATATATATATATTACCAAAATTTTACAAAACAAAACAAAAATTTGCTAAAAATTTTAAAATTAAAATATTAGCATATTTTCTATGAACCAAAATAACTTTTTAAGTATATTCCAAATACATAACAAAATTATTAGATATTATATAAAAATTTATATATATATATAGGGTATAATGTAAAGTAACACAATATTATAGCTATTTACTACTACTAATTTTACTAATATACAGGGTAAATTTAATTAAATAATAGGAAACAAGGATCAATATATAACTAAATACTATATTTTACTGTATATAAGTTACAGTCTATATATATATATGCTAATAATTATATATATATATATATTAAATCTTAAAATATACTTATCATTTATATTAMTAATTAKTTTATTTAATTTGAAAAAAGTTTTTTTAAGTGACAATACACTGGTGCAATAATTTTGTAGATTTATACTTTAAAAATTATTTTTTTTCTATGTATTATTAATAAGTGATAGAAAGTAAATTTATAAGTAATTTTATTTTTAGAGATAAATTTTATTTTATTTTTGTTTTTATTATTATTGGTTAGATATTTATCAAAAAACAATAGTACAGTAGAAAACAATTGTTTATAAATTGTTTTTGATTTTTTTTTATATAAACATAATATAATCGTTTTTTAATTAATAAATAAATAAATTATTATGTTTAATCAGTAAAATAAAAAATTATCATATATTTATTTATACAATATTTTTTATTATTATTGACATTAATAATTATTTCAATTAAAAAAAATTATTATTATTATTATTATAGTATTATATAAGTTAGTACTATAATTGTAAACTATAATTATCAGTAAAATATTTTATTTATAATTTGTTATTAAATTATTGACTTTTTATTTTTTTTATTTGATATATTAAATAAAATTGGTTAATAGCACTTAAAAAACTTAAATCTATGTTATATACTATACTATGATATTATTTTTTATACATTATTTATAATTTATTTGTTGTTTGTTTTTTATATTACACCGATAAACTTTATATATATATATATACTTTTTATTGAAATATATCTTATATAAATATAAATATTATATATTAATATATATATATATATATAATAAATTTATTATGTGCTAAATGTATCTTATTTAGCTTCTCTATACATAAGTGCTACAAGTTTTAGTGGGTTAGGTTTAAGTTAATTGCAATTTTTTATATGTATAGATTATTATTATTATTATTGATGCAGAATATTCTTGTTATATCTCGTAGTATATATTTATGTAATGATTAAGTGCTGTTTGGAGATATACTGTATATGTACTGTATATGTACTGTATATTTATATGGACATCGATATGCTGTCCAAAATAAATATCAAAAGGCATATTCAACTGCCAGTAATTATATATATATATATATATATTGAGTGAGTCTAATGTTTTAGTTGATTACATTATAATATATATATATATATATATATATATATATATATATATATATATATATATATATATATATATATATATATATATATATATATATATATAGTGAGTGAGTGAGTGAGTGAGTGAGTGAGAGAGAGAGAGAGAGAAGAGAGAGAGAGAGAGAGAGAGAGAGAGAGAGAGACTATTAAATATGAGTGTCCATTACATGATAGTATTGAATAAAGTTAAAACTGTTTTTAGATTAACAGTGAATATATATATATATATATATATAAATCATTTTCAAATCGTAAAAGCGCTTAAATGCTATCAATTTGTTTTTTTCGGCTATAGTTAAGACAAATTGTATGTCACATGAGATACAGCATATAATATATATATATATATATATATATATATATATATATACTGTATATATATCCCTGTCCTCAACAAAAAAAATTTTTTTATTTGGATAACATTATATATATATATATATATATATATATATATATTGTTAATCGCCATTTATCGATTGGACCTAATAATAATAACATTAGTATTTTACCGCTAAATAAATATATATACCGTATATAAATTATATAACTTTACAATACATAAGTTGCGAAAATCACTTATTAAATATATATATAAATAAATTATTACATTACAATATAAACTATCGTTAGTTTTATTTATTTATTTATTTATTATTAATGTTTAAATGATATCTATGTTTGGCATATATATACATATATATATATGTATATATATATATAAAATTATATAACTTTACAATACATATAAGTTGCGAAAATCACTTATTAAATATATATATAAATTATAACATTACAGTATAAACTATCGTTAGTTTTTATTTATTATTAATGTTTAAATGATATCTATATGTTTGGCATATATATATATATATTTATGTATATAGTTGGAGGACATCAAGAAAGTGATTTGTTGCGGTCGATGCCGACGTGTTAGCTCCGGATCTAATGATCTCATGTCTCAGACAACCATATCGATGGTCAACCGTAAGTCCCATAACGACCTGCCGTCACAACAACTCAACTGTCAAACCCTAATGTGAATTCATTTTTCCTGTTTTTTATGATTATTATTATTATTATTATTATTATTATTATTATTATTATTTAATATGTATTTCTTCAATAATCTTCAATAATAATAATTTATCACAAATTTTTATTTGCATATATATACTTATATATATATATACTTACACGACTTATATATACTTATATATATATATATATATTTATTAACATAATATAATAATAATAATAATTTTAAGATATAATCATTTATCTATATATAATGTATAATCTATTAATTAATAGATAATATCTATTTTTAAAATAAATACAATTTTACAATATTTTTAACAAACAATAATAATATTATTAATAATTTATAAACAAACAAAATCTATTGTGTATTGTTATATATGTATTTGTAATAATAAAATTTTTTGTCTATTAATATATATATACCTTTAAAAAAATTATTATCAAATATAAGGTTATTTATTGATCTGTTATGTTAAATGTTTTCAAAAAATATTTATATAGATATTTTTTATCAATATATTATAATTATTTATTGTAATTTTCAAATATATATRTATATATTTGATATATAAATTTTAATTGCTAATCATTCATCAAAAAAAAATATTTATATATTTATGTTGTATATTAATATTAACGGTACTTTTAAAATTGTTGTATTACCACAAATATAATTAAATTTATAAGTTATATATATATATATATATGATATATTAATATAAAATTAATGTAATGATATTAATGTTTAATAAATTGTAAATTTATACAATAATTGTGTAAACAAAAGACAAAATTTTTTTTTTCAATTAATATATAATAAATTCAATGAAAAAAATTAAGAGATTTTTATTTAATGAGATTTAATTATAGAGACGATAATCATAACAATCCTTATCATTAGTTTACTACTACCACTCCTATCACTACTACTACTCCTATCACTACTACTACTATCACTACTACTCCTACCACTACTACTCCTATCACTACTACTACTCCTATCACTACTACTACTACTCCTATCACTACTAATACTACTACTACTACTAATCCAATGGTTGATAATTGTTGCGAGTCTTGCGTAACCTCTTGTAGATGACAAACACTACTACCGATAGCGAGGCTACCGAAGCCACAACAATACCGACTATCGATCCGGCATTCAGTCTATCTGGGGAACTGTCGGTTGAATTGGTGGGACCTTCAAAAACAAACAATAATTTTTATTAATTACGTTAACATAGAGTTAAATAAATTGCGATATACTATACTATCATATAATACATGTATATTTGCCGTGACTTTTTTCCGCACGTATCCAACTACTACCGGTGCCGCCGTCGCACTTATCGGTAGGTTTGGCACTTTGGCTGCTCAGACAATAGGTTGTATTTACCATAACTAATAACCCCAACCACCCCCACCCCAGGTAATAATTTGACGGTAGATAGGATGATGATGATGATGGGGTGGGACACCAAACAACAAAAAAAAAAAGGTAATAATTATTATTAATATACAATATATATATATATATATATATATATATATATATATATATTTTAGTTAATAATAATAATTATAATAATTATAATAATAATATATAACAAACTTTTGCCTTTTAGGCCGCAATACCAATAGGCACAGCCATGTTGTAGACATTGGTCACAATCGTTGGCCGCTATTTGATCGCAAGTAACTGCAAAAAAAAGTTATCAAAAGTTTATATCATAATAATAATAATCATAAAAAAGTTTTTTTTTAAAGTTTTGTTTTTCTAAGATTTTGTTTTTTGTTTTATGTATTAATCCATAAAAACTTTATTTTAAACAACAAATATTTTTTTTTGATGATATCATATATGATATGTTAACAAACTTTTTGGTG